CACAGTCTTAATGTCGCTTAAGCTGCTGTTTTCCAATGGCGATAAATTAATGCTTGACAGGATTTATAAGATATTGTAAATTCTAAATCTGTTTAATCTATCTTCGTTATCTTATCATTACTTTACATCTCTTAAATTAATCGGTTGATCCATCAGACTGATTCTCATGCATCCATTTGCCTGTTACAAATGCATTCACAACTGCAATATGCCGCAGCATTAGCTAGTATCAATTAGTACACGCCATAGTAATAATAATAACAGTAATAATATTAAATCTTTGAGCTACACAAAGTTCAGCTCTTGTGGCATTTTGACATGTCAACGACTTCAATTGCTCCATAAAAAAATCAGATTCGTCTGTGTGAATATGTGCGTGCATAAAATCCACATAAAAAAGGCAGTTAAGAGCGCTTGCTGCTGGCTTGCCAAGCGAAGCATAAAGCCAAAATGCAGGGCAACCAAAGAATCCCAAAGACGAGACAACACACATGTCCAATCGCAGGGGGACTACGTGCAAAGGGGCGCTAAGCAGGGATTTCCAGATTGCCTCAGCAAGCGGCTGGCTTGCTGCTTCACTTGACTCGGAATTGCAGCAAAACGCTTTTGCGGAGGCTGATTTCGATTACGAGTTTTTGATTTTGTTTCTGTTTTTTTTTTTTTCGTTTTGGTCGAAACTGGTGCAACTCGTAGCTTGAATCTATTTGGCTGCCAACTGACGCTGCATTTGTCGTTGCATTTTTTGGCCAAAAACGTAGCCAAAACTCATTTCGCAATTTCAAAAAACAAAAAAAAGAAACCAAATCAAATCAAATCAAAAGCAACAACACAGTTTGCTACAATTGGATGGACAACTTGGCGACGACGACGTCGATGACCTCCAAAAGTCGCTGTCTAGATCAGCGCTCATTAGAGCAAAAGGCGCGCTTGCAAAATGTGCAACGTCTTTCCGAGCTTTTTCTCAGACAACAAACAAAAACAAAACCAAATTGAAATCAAGAGACAAAAACAAAAAAACATCAACAGCAACAAAATTCAACTGATATTGCGAAAAATTACATTTCGAGTTTTTCATTCGCCTTGTCGTCGTCATTTTGTGGCAATTAATTAGTTTGCAACAAATATGCGTACGTCCTACTCCCACGCCCCTTCACATTTATGGCAAAAACAATAACAAAATATGATTTTAATTGCCACGAACAAAACTTTTTCGTGGCCACTGATGGCCGCAATTCGTTGTTGGTCTGCGCTGGTCTCCGTTGTCTTTCGCATCGCACATTTTTGGGTGGCCTCTGCGAGCAAAATATCATTGCGTAAATGCCAGCAGCCATCCATGCCACGGTGAGGCAGAGATGTAAATCAGGCGCAGTTCCTATGTCGTTGCCCGCCCGTCTGTCTGTCGTCTACTTAAAATATTGATTTATTTTGTATTTACAAGCAATTTATGTACTTTAATGATATTTCGCTGATTAATTGATCGGTAGTTGAAAGTCTTTTATATTAATGCACATTATAACGAGGGGAAAATAGGTCAGTTTACAGCGCATCTTTATATGAGACGATGAAGGCATCTGATTGAGTGCGTATAAACATTTTGTATAAGTTAACATATTTTAGTGCATATACCAATATGATACTCTATTGAGTATAGTAATAACAATAGGAGAAAATAAAAATTAAGATGGAAATGAAAGCCTTATTAGTTAGCAATAATATAATTTAATTAAATTAAAGATTCAAACTCGAATTATAAATAATATAGATTTATATCAAATACTTATTTAAGTTAAATAATAAATAAATTAAATTATAATATTTTTATTTATATTATATATAATATTAAATATTTAGAAAATAATAAATATTTATATATCCTCATAATTGTCATTGTTTCTGCATAACAAAAGAGAAATATATTAATATTATACTGTCTATACTCCAATAATAAGAACCTATAGTATTACAATATCGTCTGTGTTAATATAGTACTGTCAGAGTCTTAAATTAAATATTAATAATTACACAGGCCAACAAAGATTTGAGGAAATTTAGTAGACAACGCTCAGATTATACTTTGTAGAGTTTGCTTTATATGGATACATTTTTGATTATTAAATCTTAGTGTAATTTATCCATATGATAACATATGAATAAAATACTCTAAATAATATGAATAGATACTCGAATTGTCTTAACTCGAACTAACTTTGGCCTAGAAAACTATTAAATTTTATTATATAATATATTTATATCTTGTTAAGCTGGGCCTTAAGCCTATCAACGACCTTCCCTGTTTGACCAATTGCCATTCCTCTGCTCCAATATCTGAAACAGCTTCCTCCCATATGTTTCTATCTCTGTCCGTTAAAGTAGTTTATGTGCAGTTGTTAATAGTATTTAATGACAGACTGCTGCTGCTGCTGCATTCTTGTGCTATTTAATTTGTTATAATTAAACCCTACAAAAATAAGTTTATGGCAATTAAGTTGCATTAAAAGATCCGCTTGGTAATTGCATGGCAATTGCGCAACCCGAAAGCTAAAGTGAAACACAATTCCATGTGCAAGACACCTACGACGAGAGGCAGGCGCAGGCCGCTTAAGAGCTTTTGTAACAAATGATGGTTGAAATAGTGAAACGTGTAGGTGCTTCGAAGTGCAATAGCAAAGCAAACTGACGTCAAAGTTAAATGCCACGCCTCCTCCTATATAAGAGTGGTTAAGTCGATGACCTTCAGCTGATACGAATTCTTTGGCGCCTGCTAACTGGTTCTTGTAACTCGCTCTTTGATCGATCTATCTTTAAGCTTTTGTGTTGTTGAAGTTTTTTTTTGTCTTGAAACGCGAAAGAAAATTAAATCAGAAATTTAATCGAGGCGCGTTCGACTTTTTTATTAGAAAGTTGTTTTGCTTTAGTTCCGTCATCAAAGTCCTTGAGCATATGCAAACAGGCGGCCGCGGGGGCTTTGACCCTACACATTAGATGAGCGCTAAAACCGAATCAACGCATAGATTGTTTGATATATTGAACGCTTGCTAAATATATTTCTATCCATACATATATTTCTTTTTTTTTATAACGCCCATTAAAACTAGGAGCCGGTTTTCTTATTTTGTGTACATCTTGCGATTCGCACTCCCCAGCATCTGCCAGCTTCTGCTCTAATTGGTTGTGTTTCTTGAAATACCCAAGTAAGGAAAATGCAAAAAAAAGGAATCAAAAAAGAAATAACTCCACATTTTATAAAGCAATTCAATTCATCAAATTGCAATAAACAAAGCCGTCTTTTATATATATTTTATACCATCTTTTGTTTTATTTTTTAATGGTCAATTAAAAGTTGTTGGCTGTCTGTCTGATTTGCCTTTCGCTGGCTTAGAACTTGGCTGCAGTGGCTTTTGAAAGTTGTATTTTTGGTATTTCACGAGGAAAAACCCGGCCATAAATGACATATAAAGCGACTGCTCTGGTTTCGTATTTTTATTTAAATTTATGAGCGTTTAGAGCCGTCGCTTCTGCTCTTGCCTTCTGACATTTTTAGTTGAACTGGACATGGCGAGGGCAGCCGGAAAGCCGGGCATTTTAGCCTTGTCTCTTGTCAGCCGAGTCGCGCATTGCGCTCCGACTATCTAAAAATGAGATTTGACATGCGTTGGCCTTATCACTTATGGATCGCCTCTCAGTACAATCCATCCAAAGCCAATGACATACAGTTCCTTATCCCCAAAACTGGGTCAGTGCACAGAAAGTCAGCTTCAATTTGTTGCGAGGATGCTTAACATTGACTTAAAATACTTTTTATGATCTCTTAATCAGGGCCATTAACATTTATTTTCAATATATTTAAAATGTCAGTAAAATCATAAACATAGTTTCAGAATGCAAGACTAATAGATGATCAATTTATTATGAACATTAAATTTGACAGATACTTATAAAAAAGATTAAATATACAGATATTAAGCTTAAGTAAAATCATACATTCCTAAAAATGAGTGAGGCCTTCGAGATAGTTGCGCCAAAAATATCGTACTCTATGTAATGTATATAAAGTATAAAGCTTAAAAGGAAAAAATTACATAAAATGAAATGAAAAGGAAATGAATAATAAATGTAGAGACTTAAATGTAAAAAAATGGTGTGAACTAAGATTAAGAGTTGTATTACATTTTGACAGACTTGCCAGAGTCTGATTTTAGTTAAGACATCAACAATATGAAATGCTTAATATATATAAAGTCCTTGTGTTTTGAAAATAAATTGAGTATGAAATATTCGCCTGTCAAAAATAATTTTAAAGTACACTTTTATATCAATTTTGAGCTACCCAATTGTTAAAAATATATGAAAAAATTATTTTATGTATAATTTATTTAATATTATAAATTTAAATAATTCAAAAATATCTTTTTTTTTTCGATTGAAATATCTGTAAGATGAAAAATAAACTTTATAGACCAACTTTAAGTATGTTATGAATCGATCAAAAAATTCGATTTACTTTTAATAAAATTATGTATTTTGAAAATCTAAATTTTTGTATTTCTTTACGTGAGTATTGACTATATTACAGAAAAATATTTTTGAAATTGATTAAGCTCGGGTAATCATTTGATATTGTTTTCAATTGAATTGAGGGAATAACCCTAGAAATTACGAACAACGATTAAGATCTGATAAAGTTATGTCTAAAGTCGAAATGATCTTACCTAAAATTAATATTTTAATATATTGGAAAAAAATTTTTTAGTTTTAAAAAACTGTCTAGTTATTGAATTAGAAACGAACAATTCAAATTATTTTATACAATTTTATTTCTTAAAACATTTTTACATCATTTTTTTACATACATATTTCATTTCATTGTACGTCGAAACCTTTTACTGATAAACAACAGCAGCTAAAATGTTTATAAAATTGGTAAATTCTTTTATAAACAATTAGCTGGAATTTATCCTAAACTGTTAGTTCAAACATAACAATGCTCCATTTGATTGTTTTTGGGAAATAATTTACAAAAGGCTTTTGTTGTTCTTCCTTGGGGTCGTGGAGTGTGTTTTTTTTACTTAAGATCTAATAGAGTGGCAGGGTGGAAGTTCTACTAGAACCTCTTGGAAATTATTTAGGGGAGCGCAGAGACCGTGTGTGAGTGTTATTTTGTTTTTCATGTTTTTTTTTCTTAATTTTTGTTGGACAGAATTAAAAAAATATTGCTAAATTTAATTCGGCTCATGTTTTTGTGGTAAGTCCTTGGCCTAGCCCCGAATAGATTCCGCAACCGCTCTACTTGTGGTAGCCGGAATGATCGGCATAGACGCTGGCATCCACACCGATACCGCTGCCTGGGCCATAACCGGTGATGGGGAATTTGCTGACGGCATAGGTGGGTGCGTGCTTCACCACGGAGTGGGAAACATGGGGAACCTTGACGTAGACTGGGTAGGGACGATCGACGGGCACATGGACGGGCACCTTCTGGATCTTCTGGACGTAGACGGGGTATGGCTTCTCGACGGGCACGGGGTAGGGCTTGGGCACCTCAACGGGCACTGGACGATCGACGGGCACATGGATGGGCACCTTCTCGTGACGGACAACTTCGTAGGGCTGTGGCACTGGGACGGGCACCTTCACGTACTCCTTGACTGGGACGGCAACCTTCCTAATCACCTCGTAGGGCTGTGGCACGGGTACCTTAACCTCAACGGGCACACGCTTCTCATGCACAACGGGGTAGGGACGATCAACATGCACGGGCACGGGCACACCCTTGGTCACAACGATGGTCTTCTGTACCTCAGCCTGTCTGCTGATCACATAGGGAGCGGGCACGACATGAGGTTGAACAATGGCTGGTCCGATGGAGGCATAACGGCCAGGGCCAGAGTTTCCATAGCTAGCGACTTGACCGACAAGGGAACCTTGACCGATATGGCCAACGTCCAGACCGGCATGACCATAGCCTACGCCCAGCTCGAGCAGGCCACGTTTTCCCAGCTGCTTTTCCACTGGCACCTCACTGGTGGCACAGGCGGAAGCCACCAGAAGAGCGGCTAGGCAGAACTAAAATAGAGTGACAAAAAAAATGAAAATTAAAATCATTTGTAATTCGCAATTTGTTTTGGTGCCCATTAAATATGAACGCAAGTGCGTCTTGTTCTAATATATGTTAGGTAACAATTGAATTTCTGAATTGAACTGATTCAATTCATTTGTAATTCGCAACTAGTTCTAGCTGTCGATTACAAGCTTATGCAATGATCGGGCAAATTGTATTAGGTAATCAGATTAGAAAGTTATGCGATATATATGACGCCCACTATTTGGCCACAATTTGTGAGGCGACAGCACTACGCTTTCAAATGGTCAAGTGAAACGCGTATGTGCGTTGCATGCGTAATGCGAGCATGACAACATGCGAGGGGCAATAAAATATGTACAGTACAGTACGTCACGCATGCGTGCAGTCGCAAACGATGTCGGGCAGTGCATTTGCCGCTAACTTGTGGCTGTGTGGTCATAATTGATTATTTGTTAGTTCAATTTGATTGCAGTGGGCAATGGCAAAATGGAAAACAATTGCGAATTATGAACATTTATCATTTGTATGATTGGCTGCATTTGATTCAAGTTGAAGTTTGTCGTTTAGCGTTTGTATTTTGGCCAACATATGGGAGATTATGCAATTTGTAAACAGGAAGTCAATGGAAATCGAGCTGCGGTCAAGCACCCATAGCCAAAGACAAGCAGCTCATAAATAAACTCGTATTTAGAAATGTTTGCGCTCTAATCTATGTGTGAGTTGGCTTCAAGGGTTAACTGAACAATGCCACAATTCTCACATTTTAATGAATTAGTTCGTTTTTTTTTTCTGTCTATAATTCTGAACCACATTATTTGCACATAATTATTAGAATAAAATATTTTATTGTCTACTTACGAATACTTTCATTGTGAAGTGTGTTGGGACTCGCCAAGGCTATAAATAAATAATAGAAAACAATGCATATTAATTAATTTATCTATAAAGTTAAATTAAACTATAGACACTTTGCAAATATTTCAACATTTTCTGTTTGGATTTTAGAATTTATATATAGAATATATAGAATTTACTTTAACACAAATTTTGAAAAAACTTTAAGTTTTGTTTGCATATTTTGGAAAAATATATTAAACACAAATAGCAGGCGGTAAAAATAACTTTGTGCGCTTGCTAACACTTACGAGCAACGCTTGAAAAACAGTGTTGTAAGGATCTGTAGAATCACACACGATTCCAAACCTTTGACTGGATGCTGTCTGTGGTCAGTGGCGCACTTTTATACCCCCAAAGAGTTTTTGTGTCAAAACGAAACTGAAAACCCGCCAAGCTCCAAGTCCGTCATAAGTAAAAAAGCTTTTCGTAAGTCAGAGAGCGTGCGCGCCTCTCTCTATGTCTCTCTGCTAACTCAAAAAGCTCACCTCAGCTGCTTCGCTTTGGTATTGGTAAGGTTTTTGCGCTGGTCTGCGTTGCGGCTCGGAAAGTTTTGCAGCGGAAGCACCCACTACTACAAAAACACCTTACCAATACCACTAAGCAGCTGTTGCGCTTGTCTTGGTGCGAATCTAAAGGCTTTTGAAAGCAGATCAACTTTTTTGGGGAGTCATTAAAAAACATGCAAAAAGGTCTGCGTCAAGCATTAATTACTCCACGTTGAGCGTTTTATTTTTTTTTAATGTATTCTGGGGAATTCCAAAGAAATTCCTTATTTATTAGTTGAGTTCTTTTTTATTCGCTAAATATATACTAGAGAAAAAAGAACTCCGTAAGAAATGTCAATGGTTTGTTCTTAACCGTTTATTATCTTCTTACGGATCTTTTCGTATTTTGTCTGTGACTGCAAAACCTGCTCTACCACTGCACTCGAGCTGGTAAAAACCCCAAAAAAAAGATGAGACAAGTAAATTGTCATACAAAATCACATTGCCTTTTCATTCAGTCGATTTATAGCTTGTTATAAATATTTATAATATAATATATTGATTGAATTTCGTAGATTAACATATTGGATGTTCTTATAACTACAACATAGTCAATAAATTCATTTATATGCTACAATTTCCCACATATGTCAGTTTATTTTTATATCTGAGCATTACGCAAGCATTGACACTTCATTTTCACTTCATTATATCTCAATCAGCACTTTATATATATATATATATATATATATATATATATATATATATATACACATAAATAATACATTTTTTATATATAATTTAGCTTCTGGAGCCAAACCTTTCTGTATAGATCTGTAGAGCCTACGGTGAAACTTATATAATATTCAAATATTTGGTTGTCTTATTTAATAATCAAGCTTTTAAGTTTCTTTTCTTTCTTTTTATATTCTTTTTAACAAAAAATGCTTATTTTATATTTGATAATAAAGCTCCAAGGTAAGCTCTAAGCATCTTTAGAAATCTTTGTTGCTAATTTATATCCTAATGAAACAAAACTAATTCTCATTTCTATAAAAACCATTAACATTTAAAAAAATTTAGGTACAATAAAAGACAAATTTCAAGGGCACACATTTGAATGTTCAGGTGTTGTTTTATATTTTATATTTTATATTATATATTATATATTATATATTATATATTGTATATTGTATATTGTATATTGTATATTGTATATTGTATATTGTATATTGTATATTGTATATTGTATATTGTATATTGTATATTGTATATTGTATATTGTATATTATATATTATATATTATATATTGTATATTTTATATTTTAAAATTATAATTGTTTAATTTCTCTGAGTATAGCTCTATTCGCCTAGGGCTAGGGCTTTTGCTCACACAATCAAACTGGAAGCGGAAGCTGCAGCTTGAAATGTTTGTCGGATATGTGATAAGGCAGAGCAGGCGGCGTTTCTGCTATGATGTTTGCTAGGGCATACGCACTTTTGGGGAAGTCTTGGGCTGTTGTGGAGGCATGTGGCAATTGCGGCAGTTGCAACTGCAACTGCAACTGCAATAGTAACACATAATCATTGTGGCAGCTGAGATAGTAGGAGAGATCGTGTTTCTAATTTGAATTACAATGTTGAAATGCAGCTGGCTGACAGGCAAATCTGGAAACAGAGCTCTAAGTAGCTGTTGAAGTTGATTGGCAGCTGAGTTCGCTCAGAGGGAGAGGCGAGGATTGCTTGGTTGGGTGGGCGGTGCAGTAGCTGGGGATGGTGCGGCAATGCGTGCCGCAAAAAGTGAAAGGCCTTTATGGGTCGCACAAAATGGGATTATATATCAGAGATGCATAGCTGCGATTTGGCAATTATTTCCCCAGCAAAGACGAAAACCAGTTATATCTCTTTATATGTATTTATTTTCTATTGTCCAACTGATATATATTATACTAAAAAAAATTCAGTTCTAAAACTGGAAAAACAATTAGAATCCATTTATGATTCTGATTCTGATTTTTGCTTAGTGGCGTATGTTAAACAACTTTCCAAAAAAAAAACCTTATGCTATAATTTTAAGTGGAAGATACGATAATATTTACGTTTTGAATATGAAATGAATGAAATCAAGTTGTATCTGAACTGATTTGTAATTAATCGATACAAGTTTAAAGCAAGTTAGCTAAAAAGGTCTGCCTAAAAACAAAAATTTTAATTGCTTATCGAAATCAATTCTTTAAATCATATATATGTATTTGTATATATATATATTTGTAACAAATTTAATGGCCATTGTTTGATATGCGTGCTCTCCTCAAATAGGAGATAGTGTGCTTCAGCAGAACAGAACTACGGAAGTTGGATTTTGTTAAACTTATTCAAAATAACATGTTCTAACTGGAAGTGGTTCTTAGTTCGTGTTCTTTGATAGTTTTTTTTTGGGGCGGATCGTCTTCCGGATTCTTGACTCAAGTTTACAACATTTTCCTTGAAAGTAATATTACAGCTTTGAAATCCTATACGTAGTTCAAGAACAAAAGTTCTAAGTCATAAATTATCTTCAAAATATTTGAAATTGTAAATAGTTTTTGTTTTTGTATCGTTAGCTTTTATGAATTTATTAGTAAAACCTTTTGTTCCTAGTTCAGTTAACTAAAACTGAAACTAAATGTTGTTTACTTATGATACGTTGGAATTGCTAGTCCTTTTACGTTTAGTTCGTTTAGTTTTATTTAAATTTGTGCAAGTTAATCTTGTTCTAGCTCGTCCCTTGTTTACAGCTATTTATATTTAGACTTGTTTTTTACATAATTTATAAAGTTATATTTTATTAAGTTCTAATTCCTTAACTATCTGTAGTTCTATATATTTAATTTGCTTTTAATGTTTCTACATCTAGTTCTATTCATTTAACATTAGTTCTTTATATTCAGTATTAGCTCCAGCTCAAAAAAGTTCTGGATTCGATCAAAGAGTCATATATATTAATATAATCCAAAAATACATATTGTAACTTTGCAACACAGCAATATTGCATACAGCTCGTGTGGTTTTCATTTATTTTGTTTTATATCAAGTCTTCAGCCCCTTAGATCTAGTTTCTTTTCTGTTGCTTATATTGATTTACTTTATCAAGTTCCGCTTCATCTAACTTTAGTTTTGATATATCTAGCTATTTTATATTTAATCTGCTTCAAATTCAACCAGTGCTTGACTTCTATCTGGTTTTGGATCATTTATCAAAAGCTGAGTAATTGATCGCCAAATTCTGATATATGCAGATCGCGCGATGTTTCGAGATAGTTCTATAATTATGTTATAGTTAATCTAGCTTTATAGTTAATCGACTTATTCCTCTAGATTTAGATTGTATTCTTTTTAACGGATTAGTTTATTAAACTCTCATTTATTTAGTTCTAAGTTTGTTGCTGGTTTTAGTTCATTTTTACTTCACTTGCATTTTGTAGTTGGTTTTTCTTATGCTAAATACTAGCTAAAAGGGCATCATAAAATTGAAGTTCTTTTAAATTAGGTCATAAATAGGAAAACTATGTTTTTCAGCTACTATTGAATTACTTCTTTAAGTATTTTGATTTTTCTATCAACTTCAAGCTCACTTAGTGCTAAGCTCTCATGTTTAAGCCAAATGGAATAATCGATTATGATGGTTCCTGTTTTAAGCGCTTATGATGGCATTCAGTTCAAGCTAGACCATAGTGGTCAACTTTTACTTTTGCAAAATGTGTCGTTTTCTATGTTCGACCAGATGGAACCAAGCCAAAAACCAAGTCAAGCCGAGCAACCAGCCACCAGCAAGCAGCAACCAGTGCAGCTGCCCACAACAACAACAACAGCAATCGACAAACGTTACGATTCTGTCAGACAACGCAGCCAACAGATGCGAGTTACAATTGAGAGATGCCAGCAGCAGCAGCAGATAGTTGCGCGAGCGGGTGGAGGTGCTGCTTAGTGGTTTTTGACTCTGTGTTAGTTGGCATGCGACTTGGGCGCTTTGTTGCATGCGCTACATATTGCAACATAAAAGCCAGGCGACTGCTCGTTACAGCCACTCCCCTTCGGGCTGGCAGCCCCCGCCCGCTCAGCCACCTTATGCCCCACTCGTGTGGCTGCTTGTCGCAGTTGCAGTTGCAGTTTTTGTGCTTCGCATTTCGGATTCTCATGTTTGGCATCGCCATAAATTGTGGTCAACCGATGCAGCCGATGCGACGTAATTCATTGATTATAACGACAACAATAACTGCAATGCAATATAGCATAGTATCTCCTCTTCCACTCCCCCTGCTGCTCCAGCTACTTGGAAGCATTTGTTACCTGCTGATTTATGGCCAATTGTCGCTGTGTGTGTTTGTGTTTATTTGTTTGTTTGTCTTTGGCTTTGGCTGGCCCAGCCACTTGATCAGTCGCCGTACGGTCTTGTTTGTAATCCAATATGCGAAAAGGCCTCCCAAAAATTAGCTAATATAATTATGGGTTATTACAACCGCCACAAGACCACAAGTGGGGACAGCTGCCACACGATCAGCTCTTTGTCTTTAGTTTTCTGATATTTTTTCTTTCATTTATTTTTTATTATTGTCTGCAACTGCCATGCGATAATTCACACAATTGTGCTACCGTCGCTCTTATATGGTGCATATATTCAGATCGTCTGTGCGGATTGCAGCTAACAGACAACACGCTTACCAAATAGTCTTGAGACCATTTGACAAACGTCCGTGTGTGTGGCAAAAAACTTTAAGATTGCTGTAGATTGTGTGGCTAAGAGAATTGCAAATGCATAAATTTAGATCCACAAAAATAATGAAAAGTAGACACGAAATGCCATAACACATGCTTAG